GAAGGTTTGACTAAATTACAGGAAATGGACGATGATGACTTTTTCAATTGCCCAACACAAAAATTATCTATTCCAAAAAATAATATAATAACTACAAAGCCGTCTACTATAAATGAATCAGAAACTCAAATGTTTTTACAATTTCAACAGACTAGTAAAACTAATAAAAAGAATTCCAATTCAAATGAAGGTTTAACTAAATTACAGGAAATGGATGATGATGACTTTTTCAATTGTCCAACACAAAAATTATCTATTTCAAAAAAGAATATAACAACTGCTGAAACATCTACGATTAATAATGAAAAGACTCAACAAATTCCACAACAAGAAGATGAAGATTTTTTCAATTGCCCAACACAAAAATTATCTATTCCAAAAAAGAACATACCAACTACAATAAATGAATTAGAAACACAAACATTTTCACAATTTCAACAGATTAATAAATCTATTAAAATAAATTCTAGTATACCAGAAGATTTAACTCAATCGCCAGAAATAGATGAAAATTCTTTGAATCACTTGCATCAAAACATATCAATTACAACAAAACAAAAATTAACAAAACTATCTACTGCCATAAAAAAAGAAGAGTTTAAAAAATGTTCAGAATCCAATAAAACTAGTACAATGGTTTCCAATAATATTTGTACTAGCAATATACTTGAAAATTTAACTCAAATTCTTGAAATGCATGATAACGTTCATTTTGATTGCCCAATAGTACCCTCTGTTAAATCTGAATCATTTATGAACTCCCAGAAAAAAAATCTCAATGATCAGGATATTAATGAAATCAAAATAGTGAATTCAACAGTACAATCAAATATATCTGTTATTTCCAATGGAACAAAAAATCTGGTTGTGGACCAAAACTTAGATATAACTACTAACCAAAAACAAACAATGCAGATTGACAATATAAACAAAGATAGTTATCAAAAACCTAGTTTTGTTGTTTCCAATTCAAAAAATAATTTAGATGTTCTATCACCAAAAATGTGTATTAAAAATAACTCATTAGAAAATAAAAAAAAAAACGAAAAACCTATAATTTGTGTTAGAAAAGATTTGTTGAAGTCTCCTGAAAGTTCAAACAATAAATATCTGAGAAGCACAAACAAATCTATCATTTTAAATAAAACTGTGAGATTGGCAAATGAAAACATTGATTTACCCAGTAGTTCAAAAATTGTTAATAATAGTGAAAATGGTTTGAATGTATTATCCTTTAAACAAGAATCTTTGACTGGCAGTTTTGTAGAATGTCAAGCACCTAAGTACCTTAAATTCAAGCATCAATCTAAACACATGAACGAGTCTATATTATATAGTCCATTAAATGTTCCTAATCTAAATACAGATTTGACATTAGACCACCAATCAACTGTGATAGCTATTCAGGATAAAGTTGGAACATCAAATTCTGAATCAGCTTCTTCGAATAATAGTGCTTCCCAATGGAAATCATTGAAAATGGATAAACAAAATAGGGGTAAAATGGGTAATAAAGAAAATTTCATAGAAAATAAAAATGAAAACATTTCGGTGAAAAAAGAACGGTACCAAACAAGAGCAATTGCTAAAAAAGAAAATAGTGTTGAATTGAGTAGAAAAAGAAAGCATGATGGTAAAAGTGTAGATGAGAATAATAAAAAAAAATGCGATGAGAATGTGAAAAATGTACCAATTCCATTGGTAAGTGACATTAATATAATTTATATTGTTTTATGAAATTGGTTTATGCGTTTTAAATTGGCTACTTACAAATTATTTCTTAAAACAGTGCTCCTTCTTTTTTTTTAAATTTTTATTAATACTGTTAATATTTACATTGTATACATGCTATACTTTTTAAAATTGAATTTATATTATGTTCATATTACATTTAACTGGGAAAAGTTGCCAATAATTTTATTTAGTAAGACAGCGTGCGACATACTAGGATTATGATTGACATTTTGTTAGTAAAGATCTGTCTATGGTCAAGATACTGATTTTTTTTTATAAATAAAATTTAATTTAATTTTTTGAATCTCAGATAGAAAATTAAAAACAATAAATATTTATTAATTTAAATAATTAGCCCTAATTTAAACAATTTATCTATAGGTTATTGAACATTTTTTTTTAATGATCTAAATGATTCGGTGTTCTTATAAAACTATAATTAAGAATTGTAGTATGAAATTACATATTATCGTATACGGGCAACGATTAAGTTCAACTACAATCTGTACGATTTGCTTACTCAATAGATTGACCAAGTCAATGACAGATTTTGTTTATTCCTTCACTTAATTTTCACTTCCACATAGATTATATTTCTGAAAAAGCACGTAATGTTTTATTTATCAAATTTTAGTTTTGCCAAGTTGTCTTCATGTACTTTATAATGCCTTAGCCCGGACAGTACTCGTGTATGGTGTTGTTGAGTAGTCCACCTTATACCACCACTGATATACATGGACTTGATTAAATCTAAAACCACTTCCTGAGTTTTGTCAGATCAGGTACTGGCTTGGAATTCCTCACCCTAAACATATCTATTACACCTATTAATCAGCTACTCAATCTTAACTATCTTGATGTAAGGTACATCAGTTTTGGTAACCAGTTAATTTACTGGTTGATTGAAGGTCGAGTCGACATTCTAAGACTATTTTGAATAATTCATCTGAGTTTACAGGTTTTAGGGTACTTTTTATCTCCCCTTCCTCGAGAAAGAAAATAAATTTTTCTTTGAATTCTTTGTTGTCTAGAATAATGCTTAATTACATCTCACTTTGGTTTTTGCATATTTCTGTACTAATGCACTACATATCTTAATTATTTACTGTTTGCTTTTTTTATTACCAAAATGTATTTTTCTTACCTATTTATTATGATCTATGTTTAAAGTTACTCCGAAAAAGGCGCTGATTTTAATAAATAAATTTGAAATATTATTCAGTATTTAATAATGTTGTGGTAGGAAGGAGGCCAATTTTATAATATGACTTGATTAGAGAAGGTTTTCTGTACCTTATGGATCAATCCTTCATTGCTTTAGGTGAATACTGTGTAAGGGATGTATTAATAAAAATTCACTTTTAGTTTACAACTTTAATAGTATATTTAATTTAACAATATATGTATTTAAATTTTGTTTAGATTCATAGAACTTTAGAAACTGTTGTTACCTTTAGTTATCTAAGGAATCGAGAAATGAAAGAATTTGTGGAGAAAACAGGTATAGTAATAGGTGTTATCTTAATAAGTTATTATTATTTTTTGCTTAATCTTAACTGTACATGTTATTTTAGGTGGTTCTGTTACGGATGATATTACTCAATGTACAGTTTTAGTGTCTGACAAAATACGGTGCACTATGAAAATATTGTCGGCAATAGGTAGAGGATGCCCAATTGTCAGTGCTAATTGGGTCAAACATTCATATGTTGTTAGAGTTTTTGAAGGTACTTATCATTGAGGGCCATTCTCGCCAACAAAAACATTTTTGTTTATCTAATTATTATACTGAGTTTATAGCTAATATTCAACCACGATTGGTTGGTTATCTGTGTGAACACAATGTATATTGTCAGGTTTTTAATATTATTATACATTTCTTAGAAATTGAGGAGTTTATAACAGTGGACAAAGACGCAGAAAGGAAATATAATTTTCAGTTAAAAGAATCCCTTGCCAAAGCAAGGGCAAATAAACTTTTGAAGGGATACACAGTATTGGTAACACCTTCAGTAAAACCTGGTCCTAAAGATATGAAAGGTAATTAGAATCATCTATTTTAGATTTAAATGAATTGATGTTCAACTATGATTTTGGTTTTCAGTTATTATAACATGTGCTGGTGGTAATTATGTTGTAAATTGGCCAAAATCAATGGGCCAAAAAAACATAATTGTTACATGTAATCAGGATCGCAATCAATGGAAGGCTATATGGAATAATGACAAGGCAAAAATAATTGATAGTGATACACTTATAACATCTATCATCAGACAAAAGTTGATTGTATGATGTAAAAGATACTTCTTACAAATTAAAGATAATTGCACCCATTAATTTCCTTCGAGGTACCATTTGATAATTTTATATTACAATACAAATTATAATTTATAAAATACACAATACTTTTTGTTGTTTAAAAAACCCAGAGTTCTTTAATTTTGTTTATAATACAGAAAAATTGTATACAAGTTACAGAATTTATAATACAGTAAATTATATTTCTTATATTTTGAATGGTTTGTTTATGTATATATTTTTAATTTCACATACAAAAAATAATTTTAAATATGCAACAATTATATTAATTGGTTTTAAAATTTTCGTTTTGATTTACAATAATGGTTTTTAAAGGCATAACAGTGCCGATAGAAACAAAATCTTAAACAATTATAATAATGTTGTATATTAAATGTTATATTAAATAATATATATTTTATTTTATCACAATATTACAATTTACAATAGTGTTAAGTGATTTTTTATTATTATTATTATAAATACTTCATACTATGTAAATTATTTATATATTATTTGTATACACAAGTGTTTTTTTTTTTATTTTGTAAACAAATAATTTAAATTAAATTCTCTAAAAATAGTAAGTATTTAAAACATTCTTAAATAATCTTTGATACTTAGATAAAATAAAATAGAATAATAATAAACATAAGAACTACAAGAGTGTTCAAAATATGGGTTTTATACATTAAATAGTATGATAATAAAATAATTATATATAAAACAAAATAATAATAATTGACTTTAAATTTAAGCATTATATTATCTAAGGATGACAATAATTTTATAAAATTAAAAACTAATGTACCAAAGATATCTTATACTTATAATACAACATTGTGGATGTTGACTAATTTAATACAAAAATATACATTTTTTACAACTTGTAGAGTAAAGAGATATTGATATTACAACGGTGGGTGAGTAATTACATAAAAATGAATAATAGTTTTGTAAAATTACAATAAAACATAAGGTTTTTTAAGAAAAATGTTTCTTAAAAAAACTTTTGTACTTAAAATCATCAGATCATCACTTGAAATATACAATTTACATTTATCTATTTCCCCAACAATGTGCATTAAGTTTTGTGTATGTATGTAGTATATAAAAATATATTACACATCTGTGATAAGAAAATAATTTAAATATCAAATTAATGATGCCAAAATGGATGTTCAGTCTATAAGTAGTCTTTCAGATTTTTTATAAAACACACCACCTTCTGACATGTTAAAATTAATTTACTTATTTTTATTAGTATAGAAATACTGTTTGGTTAATACAAGTAACAAATAAATATATTAAAAAATGTCAAATCTAAAAATATTATTCTTTAATACAAAAATAAACATGTATCACCATGACAAAATTTATTTTTAAGACACTTTTCAGACAGTGGAATTATGGAAAACCCATCTCAAAATTAAGTACAAAATTATTGTTCATAAAAATATAAATTTGTTCTGAAATTTATTGCTAACTTAATTGAATAAAGCTCATACGGTTTATTAAAACAATTGTATGAAAAAATATATTTAAAATAATTTTGAAATTTGTGCGATACTTAATCTTATATTTTTATGATATTTAGTAAAACAAATTATGTAAATAAATATATATATATATAAAATATAATCATTGCACATAAATAATAATTAATTTTTGAATTATAAAATATTTATATTATACAGAATAAAACCTAAAAATACGAGAATTGTGCTTTACAAAACTAAAAAAAAAATTGTTCACTTATCCATCAAACTCATGGTTATACACAGTCAATTACAGAATAGATTTTTTAATTAACTATATTTAATTACATATTTTATTTAATCATATTAATAATATGATAAAATTATAAAAATGTTATACTATGCATACAATTTGTAATTTATTTTATTTTTTGATATTGAAAAACCAGATTTATTAACTTTTTTTAAGTTCTATTATTGAAAAATTTCTTGAATGTTTAGTGTACCTAATATCTATAACTAAATAGTAGGTAATTGTATTTTAAAAACAAAAATATTAATACTATTTTATTTTAAATAATAAACTATTGGCTTAGAATCGAACACTAATGCAACATTTCAAAAAGAATATTCTAAATTAGAATTTGGAATTGAAAAATACCCAGTTAATATTAATAAATAGTTTCAATATAAAAAAAAAAAAAAAATACTGTATGATAATAAATAACTGATATACAAAAGTGATGATAAATTCAAACTATAAGAATTTTGAAGCAAATTCTAAATATTTAACATTAAAGAAAAAAATAAGGAAGTATTTAAATGCCTTTAATTTAAATAAAAATAAATGACTGGAAATTATTTTTAAATTGATAACTTGTAATTATATTGTCAATACTAAAATCACTAAAAGAATTGAAAATTGTTTTAGTCACCTATTTTTAAAACGTCTTTTAAATGTTTCTCTCCAAAACTAAAAAAAAAAAAAAAAAAAAAAAAATAAAATAAAAAAATATAATTGTTTAATTTGTTCTAATAGAAATATTAAAAAAAAATATTCATTATAACTTCATCACATAATTACATAATGAAAACAAAAATAATATATAAACAATGAAAACAAATCTTATGTCCATACAATATTGAATGGTTGTTATTTACTTGGGAACAAAGATTCATATGAAGGTGGCAGATCTTTATCAGCACTTTGTATCCCTGTACTAATCACTACTGAATCAGGTGGAGCTGAAGGCATAACAGCCACTGTGTCTAAGTTTGGTACTCTTTGCATTTCAGAAGAATGTGGATGGCCATTAGAATGACCTAAACAACATAATAAAGTACCACAGTTCCTGAACACCCATACAAACGCAATGAAAGCTACAAACATAGTAAGAAGACCAGCAACTGTACCAGCCATGATTTTAGTTCCAAAAGTCGTGTTAAAACGATCACCATTACCTTAAATAATAATAATAATAATTAAATTTTAAGTTATTGAAATTTATTTAAATACTTACCATTAAGTGTAACAACTGAACGGCAACTACCTTCGTCTTTACAGCTTTTGTACGGACAGTTCAGTTTCCCATCTTGGAAAAATTCTTTGTAAATACATGTCCTTGAACCACAACTTTTCCAAAGACCATTATCAAAATTGCATTCTACAATAAAATTATAAAAATAAAAATAATGTGTTTATACTTAAATATATATATATATATATATATATATATATATGGTTTGTTTTTTGTTTTTTTTTTTAAAGTATTTACAATATATTCTTATTTAGAACAATAAGCAAATGTGCTAGAGAAGAGTTACATGTGAAACCTATTTTGAATTTTTTTTTATCTTATTTATTTTATGTTAATAAAATTTATATATTTTTAAAACTAAATTAATATAATGATTATTTAGAACAGGGGTGGCCAAACTTGTTTTGGTAGAGATCTATTAAGAACAAAATTTTCCTCTGAGGATCAAATTAACAAAAATATATAATTACAAATTACCTAATAGATATTATTAATAAACATACACATGGAAAATAATAAAATTAAAATGTATAGTTAAATAATGTTGTTGAATAATCAAAGTTAACATACCTTGAAATGCAGTAAAAACAATTTCAAAGCTTAATTCTTCGGTGGCATCTAAAGATTTGTTGCCAAGATGCAATCGAACTTCAATCAAGCCCCTCATATCAATGAATGAATTTTCTAATTGTGTATCATCGTTGTTGTTGTTATTAAGTTCATCATCGCTAACGTCAACTTGGAATCCATTCACAGTGCCACACATTTTTGGTCCCCATTGTTGAGACGATTTAAACTTTATATTTACTTCACCAAAAGTTAGAGTTTTTTCAGTGTGTCGAAACTATACAAATTATAAAATTACTTTAAAATAATATATGAGTGTACAATTGAAGAGAATAACGTACTTGAACATAATCAATACATTGGCCTTGGGCATTACGCCTAAAAGACATATGCTGTATAACAGCAAATATACCAAATCCAAGTGAGGAAGTAACTGTAAAACGACAATTAAATTCGTGTTTGCCAGTCCAATGTTGAAAATAACGGCTATCTTTTATCACCATGGCTGACTGATCTTCACGACCAATTAAGTTTAAATTACTCGTAAAAAAGTTCATTGGACAAACACTATCATTTTCCAATACTTCTGTAAATAAAAACAATTTGGTATTACTTATGTGTTTTATTTGTATACCTATTTAAAGAAATGTTGTATTAGTGGTGATTTATAACCATACAATAAACCTATTTTTTTGTTTATAGTATTGTTATTCAAATGTTTTTTAATATATGGGTGTATGAACAAAACTTAGAAATTAATAAAATTATTTTCACGTTTCAAAAAATATTTGTTGAGAAATAAAATTGTTCAAAATGTTTCATCAAAAATTCATAGGTAGGCAATTGAATAAATATTGGTAATACTATTGATTCAGTAGTGTAAATTGGCTGGTGCAAATGTAGCATTAGCATCACAAAATTTCAGTTGTGGCAATGCTTGTTTTTTTGCAATACCAGAATATTTTGTGTACTTTTAATTTCTATTTTTATAAGTACTTAAATATTAAAACAAAAAAATTGTAATATTCTTTATGATATAGTTTTATGATTGGATAGTTAGTATGTGTTATAGTAAGGCACATACAAAGGAGTGAGTACATCAACCTAAATTACGTGAATTAAACTAACTGGCATTGTGTGTTCACTGTTATGCTCACCTCATATATGAATCCTATTAACTTATTCATTTTTTACTATTCAAATTACACAATTTAAATTTTTTTTATTAGGCAAGGATTTACTAAGAAAGTTGATGTATTGGTATGTCGAAAAATTAAATATTTCACTGCATCACCAAACATTTTTACTATTTTACGCTACTGAATTGATTAAGTAAACTTAATCGATTGTAATATTATAAATTAATCAAATATTTCAACATAGTTTTCTAACACATTCATATTTTTATAAGGGTCACAAGAAATTATAGGTGGGTAAATAGAAAAAAAAAACCAAAGGATAGATAATAGTTTTAAAGCATTATATATATAAATATTAAAAACTAAATACATAAACATTTGTAAAAAAAACAAATTATGTCCATTGTGATATGTACACATAACTGAATAGCTAATGAAGAGACAAGAGTAAATGGTCAATTGGGGTCAATAAACAAGGAACACATGATTTATTCTAGTAATACATAAATAGATGAACAAAAATTAGTATTTGCATACTTATTTAAAATAGCATAATGGAAACAATTTTGTTTTTAGTGTAAGCATTTTTATTTTTTTCAAGTAAACTTTGGTTCATTGGAAATAATATATGATCAAAAGTAATTACAGCAATTTGTGTACAAAATAAATTCAGAATAATTGTATTTTTTTTTAATTATAAGGAAAAACTGGAAAAACAGTTGCAGTGGGTCACCTAAAATATCTAATTACTTACCAAACTTTTTCATTGGATGGGTAGGTACGTAAATACATATCAAACTTGATCGAACAAGGAAATCTATCTACATGGCAATTTGATTCAATGTTTAATAATATTGCCTATGCATTTGATCAGGTAGGATTTGTATGAAAAGATAAAAACTAAAAAAAAAGGCAACAAAGAAGTAATCAAATACTACTGACATATGGACATGTGTCATATGCACATACCTAATGCAAGTATCTGTCTAATATTATACCTATATGTTCCCAGTTATAATGTGTTTAGGACCAGACAGAATTATCTTACTCACTTTCAATGTATGCTGTGGTTCGTCCGGAGTACAAAAGTACCAGCAAACTGTTAAAATAAAACGACCACAGGTCCATTCTATATTTTTTTTTGAATACAAAACGTAAACCAAAGACAATTTCGATTTGTGTACTGATCAGAAATCACGATGTAAACCAAACCATCGTCGCCTAGGTATTTTGGCCGACCACTAGTTATATTACAGACAAAATGACGGTCTTTTCGACTACCGACGTCGTATGATTTTAAAGAAAACCCGAATCGAATCAATACCGTCGTACACCGTCGACTTACACTACACTGTACAGTCTACTGCATTATAAAAAATATAAATAAATAACAATAATAATAATAATAATAATAATAATAATAATAATGTTATTGTCTAAGGAACCTGCAAATTATTATGAATATCATGATACAAATTACGCATACACCATACGAAATACATTATATTATACACGCGCACACACACACGCGCGGCATTACGATTTCCTAATCACAAGTACGGAAACCACGGGATAATATTCGCGACGGAAACGAACTTATCAGATGGTAGTGGTCACACTGTAATGATAAAAAGTGTATCGACGGCTGGGCCTTACGATTGTTGTAAGTGGGATCGAGATTTTTGTATTTTGTAATGTTATGAAACGATATTGTGAACCAATAATAATGAGCGGATAATATTTCATAATTATTATTCATTAAACGGGTTTGTGCTGCGCATGACGAACGTTGATGTTTTGTTGATAATAATATTATTGATTAAATCTCGTTTCACAGAAAATACCTATGCAGTATTCATTTCATATTTTATATTTACACAAAGCAATTCACTCAGCTGGTAACATTCATTATCTCGGAGAGTATTAACTTTTTTGGCAATTTTTTTTTCTCGAAAACTTAAGTAACAAATACTTTTAAAATTTTACGTTAGGTATCATTTTTTTTTTCTGTCATAATTTTGGAGGGTTAAACAACTGATTATTCGATTATTGCTTGCATTGACCCTTCCTTTCCAAAACACTAAAGAGCAATAAGAAGTTTTTTTTTATTAATGCGTGCGTTTCCATCAACAAAATCTTGTTGACACAATTCTAGTGCAACTTTTTGCAGACAATTAATTACCTATGTTTGTTCATATGGCTTTTGGGTTCAGAAAAAATGTCAAAATATCGTAAAACGTCATAAAGCTTTTTTGTTTGTATGCTAGCCTAGATCAATCTCCACCGATTAGATTTTCGATTTGTAACACTAAGGTGTATAACACTTAGTTCTCCTGCGGTATGGACATATTCCAAAAGTTTATTTTTAGTTGGATTTATTTCATGACCATAAATCGGCAATAATCGTGAGGGAAACCTGCAGTACAATTGCGCGAGGAAAATTATATTCGGATTAATCCATTTAGATTAATACTAATATTTAGTAAGTTTTGTCTATATGTAGTTTTATATTATATTTTGTAAACATAAATGTGGATTATATATTGATTAAAAATGTTATTCTTGATAATTTTGATATGATTATATTGTTGTTCTACACGCAATATAATCGAATAATATCTATTATTTATATCTAATTTTTGGGGCTTGATAAAACCGAGGAAAAACGGATTTTCGCTGGAAAGCAGGGACAAATTCATGCATTCCGTGTACCCGAATGTCGGTGAGGAAGATCGATGCATCGGTTGATAAATTGTAGTATGGGGTACCGATTTACGAGCGAAAATGGTCATAAGATAAACCCAACCATAAATACTTTTTTGGAATATGTCCATATGGCAGGAGAACTAGGATGTAACCAAAATGTTCAAATAATTTATCTGTGGATAATAAATATTAAGGTCGATGCGAATACGATACAATAACTGGTAAATATACTGTTTATTTTATCATACCTACAAAGCATAATATACCTATATAACAAATGTTCTTTAAAAGTTTAAATGTTGATAAAGTAGACAATTCAAATTGGGTAAATATTACAAAAGAAACCACTATTGCATTTCGTGGTTTTTTTATTACAACATCAAAATATAAAATTAATATAATTTGTATACTTAAACATTGTATTTAACAGTAGGCTAGGGTTTCAAAAGAAACATCGTTAGCATTTTATGAATACTTTCATGACGATGCCACGACTACTGATTGGTACCTAACAACCAAGGTATCTATAGCCGAGATAGATGAGACTCGTTAATTTAAAGCAATAATGTATAACGTCGGACGAGTTGTGCGATGGAATGCTGTTTGGCTATTTGGTATTAAATCGTCGAACTTGAAAATAATTTTGCTAAACGTATTTTGATATTTTGTTTTAATATTTCATTAAAGGCGGTGTAAGTCGAAAAAGTAAAGAAGTGTCCGGTGTAACTATTGTACCCGACAGAACAACCGATACTCTACTGCCGATAATGTAAAAATATATCGATAATGACGTATTTATCTGTAGTGATATGCGGCGAGCGTATAATGTTTGTGGTCAAATATTTAGGTAATTGTTTAAAAATGTAATATAAATACACATTAGTTTTTTTTTTTTACAATTTTTCAAAAATGCGTTCCTATTTATCCGAAGTTAGGGCGAATAGGAAAGAACATTTTTTTTTCTGCTTATGTTTTCCTTTTCTACTAAGTTTAGGGCGGACAGAAATTTAATAAATATTTTTAAAATCATTTAACGTCTTTTATAGATATATTTATTTTTAAAATTAATAACATGCATAATAATGATCACAATATTAGCTTTATTACAATTAATTATAATTACTTAATAACAGTGAATACAAATCAGGGTTGGTAATTGACGCGTATAAAACGTTTTATACGTTAACCTATGATGACCAAACGATAGACGTACCATTTTTCGTAAGACAGTAATTTTTTTTTGACGCATTGTACTATTTACAATAATGTTAAGTACATGAAATTGTACCATTTTTTTGAAAATATGGGCTAATACTAGAGATTTCATACGTCCCGTAATTCATGACAGTGTCCCGGTGTCCCCGTAACAGATGCAATATCGTAAAAATGTCCCGTATAATTATAATAAATCATTGTTTTATATTTGTGTATAAATATACTATAATATTCAAAATTTGTTTTCAAATAATCAAATATCAAGATTAAAACATTTCTTAACCACTGATAATATAAATGCTACGTTCCTACCACTTACCGTACGGATACCGATTCGGAAACAAGTACTAACATCAATACCCGAGGTTTAAATTGTGGCTTCTAGACTTTTGGCCATATCTGTATACAACTAAAAATCACTCTTTTTTTTCCTACAAACAAATTATACAAGTAATCATAAATAAGTATGAAATACTTGTAGGTGCTAAGTTTAGCAGGTATGATAGAGGAAAATAATTATTTAATTAACAGTCTTCATCAAATCTTTAACATCTTTTATTGCTATTATAATAACATTTTACTAAAGTAAAATTGTTTGTACATTTCCAGACTAACTAATCAATTAGTTATTTAGTTATTAAATCAATATATTATAATTTAAGCACATAACTTTATTTTAGGTTTGAGATATTTGACACTCTTATTATAAATTGAATTAATTGTTTAAAAAACAATCCATAATCAATTTTCTTTAATATCGAGTTCCTATTGGTATTCATATATTTTTTTCACATGTATAAATGCTTTAAAAAGTTATAAGTTTGTTTTAATTTCAAATCTATGTATAATTTCACAGTTTTTATGTGAACCTAATTATGCAATGTATTCAGTAACCTGATGATGACATTATGTCGAAATGAAGTAGTTACAAAATATAAATACCTATATAACACTATAATTTTTGATATTCTTGAAAAATACGAAGTGTTATCAAAAAATTCCCGGATTGTTTAAATAAAAGCTTCTTTTAGGTGGGAGGCGGTTGGAGAAGATTTTTCTTTCATTTCTATTATGATAATATAATATAATATAGGTAATGATTATTGTTATGATAAATTGTCAACATGTTTTTATTGTCATTTATCATACCAAAAAGTTCCTGACTAACCTGAACTTGGACCTTCCTCTACATCCTCAAGAAAAACTTTCATTTGGTACATCTGCAGTTTTTCATTGCAATTTGTTGGCAAGTCATGTTAAACGTTGCATTCCTCTACCAAACAAGATTCTGTTAACTGAAAGAAAAAAAAAAATCCAAACCCTCCCTCCTTCAAAAAAGTTCTTCTTTTGGATTTACTACAAAATCGCCAAATGCGAAAAAATATTTAAAAAAAAACATCGATCGCATCGAAACAAAGAAAGTTATAGAGAATCTACTAAAACAGATGTATTCCGAAGAAGTCACTTAACCCAGTGATATCAATCCTATTGCCCTTGGACGCTCCTTTGGCGTGCAATTTAAACAGTCCGGGAATTTTTTGATAACACTTCGTATAACATAATTTTATTTATTATTCAGGATTTATTTCGCATGTGATACAGAGACTGTAGCAAGAAAAAAAAAGTAAAACCAAACAAATTTAGCAAAACAAAAGGAAAAAACGTGTCTACAAACTAAAACAAAGAAAGAAAAAAAATAAACAGCATTGTAAAATCAATAGCTTCCTCGTTACGCTCAGAACTTAATAATAAAAATTAATATAAATTATTATTATTTTATATAAATTTTTTTTTTTTTTTTTAAGAGTGTGGTGATTAGAGCGATAATTAAGAATTGCCAATGTGGTAATTTAACCATCGTGAAGTGGTAATTTTAAGTTTTGATACTGGCTACACTATTAAAAACACACCACAAACATACAATAAAAATTAGAAAATATACTTTAAAAATAGGTAAATCATTGAGTGAAGCGAGTAACATTTAGATGTACAAGATAACCAATGTCCGAGAACCCGGCTCAATGATGTCACGTGTATTTTTTCACAATTGCTCATAACTCATTGAATAATGTGAGTAGAAACGTTAAACCTATATCATTATCCTTAGAATTAAATATTATTTTAAATCAAAACAAATTTATCTTTTGTGTTTTGTGCTCCTTTAATATATTAACCACGCAATTTATTATTACATACGGAAAATAAACGTACAATAATTGTACAATAAATGTATAAATGCAACAATATACAACTATACCTTCAAGAACATAAAGCTGTATGACTCTAACTGCTCTAAGTATTCAGCCAAGTTCAAGAGCCAAGAGGTTACGATAGAGAGACGTTCAAAACACAAATAAATTTTAATCAATTTTTAACGTTTTGCCCGATAAACACGACACGTGTCAGTGTATACATAAAAATAGTCATGTATATTTACAATAAATTAGGAATTTTGATATTGAAATTCGTAATACACGTTATCATCATTATCTATACATACGTAACTATACATAGTTATTGGCTATATACAATGTTATATAATACCTATATAGGTAAGTACATTTTTTATTCGAAAACAATTTAAATAAATAAAAAAATGCAATCAATGTAACAATATAAAAAATTCCCGTTGTGAATGGAATTTTGCAGGAAACTAAGCAACGGTAGTTAAAGTGACATAATATTCCTAAATAGACAATAGAACATTCCGATTTTGAAAATTTACAAATGTAAAATCATGTTTCGTATTTTTCGTATCATAAACCATTAGTTGTTGATGTAAGTAAATCAGGATAGGGTCAGAAATTTGTTTTATGGCCTGCTATAAAGCATATCAATGATCTTATGTTTTTTTCCAAAGTAATACATTTTTTTTAAAAATCCCTATATAACGTTTATACGTTTACTCCGGGTACAGACGAAGGAGAAAACTATTTTAAATAAACTGCATTGTTAAATATCGTATTTTTTTAGAAATCTATTATTTAATCGAATTACTTAGGTATTACTTGGCTACCTACCTAGCTGTTGTTAAAATTTAATAGATATTTTGAATACAAGTTTATAACTAATTAGTAGTTTTTTGTACTTATTTGTTTAAGTAATTTATTTAATAAATTAATAAATTATTAATATAGTAACCATTTTTGCACTCAAATTTAAATTTAAATAATCATTGAATCTGAATTTTGATTTGAGTTCTGTAAATGCTACAACTACACAGGTTTTAAAATACATACATGGGTAATATTTCATATTTGCTTTCACTTTTATTAGGTATTTTATTTTTTTTATACCTAAACAATGAATTATTATTTTTAAATTAACTTAACTTATTAATTGAAGTTAAATTAAGTTAATGGCATAGTTTAACTTAATTTTTAATTCAATTAAAAAAAAAATTAACTTAACTGAGTCAAAAATTATCTTTAATTTGCCCAGCCTTGCTATTAGTGATACACACGGTTATTAAATAGATAACCACGATTATATTTATATTAGATTATTTGCAGATTATTTGTCTTTCAACCAATAATTAATCATATAATATTATATGTACCTAACGTCACCACCTTAATTAAAAGAAAAAATATTGGTTTGTTAAACTTATATTTATTTTAACTCTATAAAAGAAATATTAAAAAGGTAGCTGTTTTAATTAAATAACACATTTTTAAGTTTTAACACCATAAAAATATTTATTTTTTATGGACATTCTGGAAAAGTTTTGATACGTGACGGTGTGGTATCTTCGATAATCTTACCTCCATCAAGAATAAGTACTCGATCGTAGTCTAAAATAGTGGATAATCTATGCTAGTATATGAAATAATAAAATTGATTACTATTTTTTCCAGAAAAAAAAAATATTAAATAAATGATAATTACTGCAATTGTAATAACTGTGCGGCCATTAAATGATGTTTTTATCGCTTCTAACAATTTTTTTTCCGTTTCATCGTCTACAGAACTTGTCGGTTCATCCATAATAAGACAAACATTATCTTGAAGAATGGCTCTTGCTAAACATAAAAGTTGCTTTTGTCCACTACTCAATTTATCACCCGAATTGTTTACAATGCCTTCTGTTAAGGACAAATTTAGGTATTTTATTTTATACATTAAATAATTCACAAATGTTTTATGTTTAATAGGTAACTACTTGAAATGATTTACTACATATTTTCTTTTTTTGTGATCCTATTTGAAAAATTAATAAGTTTACATTTGTTTCGTACAAAAAAACACTTTATTATATTCCTGTTATATTCATCTGACCTCACCAATATCCATCATGGTTACCAATTGTTGATTTTCAAACAATTTACAATTACATTCATTATTCAATATTCATATTTATTATTCATTTTTGATTCCGTGTGAAACTAAAAATGTATTGGTTTTACTATGCTGTTTGTTTTTATTTGTGTTTGTAAACAATTTTCTATCAAAAATCTTAGTTTAATTAAAAACTTTATATGAACTGTCTAGTAGTATTTTTTTTTACTCTTTTTGGTGCAATAAGGAAAACATGTTTTGGTTTTTTTTTAATAGTTTTATAATATATTTGAAAACTGTAAATTGTTGGCATAATTTTTGTTGATTTCTAGGATATCTTATCTAATACGACTTATAATAATAAACTTCACTTTTCAAAAACGTTTTTCGTTTGGAATTCGATAGAAATTAAATTACTCTTTTATATAGTAGTATACCGTATATCCATCAGCAGTATTAGATGATAAAACAATAATATTGTTCGCACTATAATTATTTATTGCAGCCATGCATCATGAACCAAAACTACCGTGTTTTTTCAAAGTGATAATAGTATTATAACAATAAACCTACTGTTAACACTTAACGGAAATTTAGTTACTAAAATAATTTATGGAATATGTTAATTTGAATATATTTTTAAAAAACTGATGCTGCTGATAGGTATGTGATTATTTACGATTTTTGATAAAATTTGAACTTATCAAAGTGTATAAATAAAACCAAATACTACATACTACTCATGATGCTCAACTTTTTTTTACCATAAAATACAATTTATTATGAACCTAATGTTAAATTTTCAAACATTTTGGGTTATAAAAATTATACTTCTATAAAACCAAATAAAAACTAAAAAATACGATGTCAAATGCCTATAAATAGTTTGGAAATCGCTAAAATGTTTTTAATTTTGTATACAAATAAAAAAAAACTTAAGTATTTTGTGCAAATTTCAGGTTTCTACGATTTTTTTTAATAAAATCAAAAGTGAAAATTAAAATTTCAAATCAAAAATTATGGAATTGTTACTGTCGTAAACTTTCCCGTTTTTCTCGGTTTTATTAATTATTAAAAAACTGCAAGAAATATCCAAAGATTAATTTCTAAATATACTAACAAGATCCAAAGTTCTACCAAAAAAATTTTGTTTTAGATTTTGTTTAGGGCAATATATTTAGTAGAAAAGTATAGTGGTTTACAGATTTGAAAAAAAAAACATTGTAGTAAAACCAATAAATTCCTTGCTGCGCTCAGAATCTATAACTTATAAATTATAAATTATAACTTGCTTTCAATTATCGTAAATAGTACAATAAATTGATTTGACCTACCTATTGTATTTATTATTATAATAGCTAAATAAAGCCATTACTTTATTTCAATTATTTTCAATTATTGTGATTCATAATAATTTCTTTGTTTAGTCTTTAAATATTTAAAATTTAAGAATTATATATAATTAATTAATTCTTATTTAAAGTTGATATTTGTAATAACTACTGACAAATTTTTGAAAGTATTTGATTACACTCAGTTTTTAGTATGTCTATGAAATATTGTAAATTCAATATTTAACATTAACTAAATTTGTGTTAAGTATTCTAATCAGCTTACCGAGTCCACCTAATTGTAATTTTACTGTATCTTCCATTTGCGCCGTTCTTAAGCTACTCCAAATCTCATTATCCGAATATTCGTTTTTTAGATCTAAATTTTGTCTTATTGTACCGCCAAACATTTTTACATCCTGTGGTATTACAGAAATCCGAGACCTCAAGCTTTGTAAAGGTACATTATTAATATCAATTCCATCGATCATGATTGTTCCATCTCGAATCGGAACCATGTTTAAAATACTCATCACTAAAGATGATTTACCACTACCCGTACGGCCACAAATTCCAACCTTAAATTTAAAATATGTTTATAATAGGAAATAAATGAAAAAACAAATATAATTTTACTTTTTGTCCTGGAGGGATATGCAAAGTAACGTCACTGATAACTGGGTCTTGACTTTCATTATATTTAATCGATATTTTATCCAAGAATATGTATCCCTTAGACGGCCAAGCTCTTGTTATAATAGCTATGTAAACAATTTATTTTAAAATATAGGTATAAGAAATAAGTACCAGATAAAGTTTACTTTCATTTCTGTAATTTTCAATTGGAATCGTTGCAAATTCTTCAGTTCTCTCTACGGCACTCATATACGTTTCTAAATCTGCAAAAAACTTTACTACCCAATTTAAGTACACGGGAACCAATAACGTATAATTTATAGCTAATCCAACCATAGCTGACGAAATAGCAGTAGAAAAAAATGTGGTTGTTATTAAAGCTACCATAGTTGCTACAAAGACTATTGCTCCACCTAAGTAATCCTATAACAAATATGTTAAAAATATAGTCAACTATAGACATAGAATAAGAAAATTTATTTTTGCTAGGATTTTGTAACCATATCGAATTAAATTTTTAACATCCGAAATAGCTTTTAATATCAAATGTTATTTTGTTCAATATGTGGAGAATATGCTATAACGAGAATCGGCAACTCAATGCGATGTACGATTTTTAAAAATAAATCACATTTAGGGTTTAGTAGTATCTTAAATACATATTTTAGATACACTTATATCTTGTAACATCGGACCCCCATAAAGCTTTGATTGATTATACATGTATAACACCTAATATTTTATAAAAATTTCAAATGGAAATAAATAATTGTTTGTCAATTATTTGATATTTTGAATAACTTTAAAATTACTATTTGTAAATATGTTTTTAAAAAAATCGAATTAGTTTCTTTTTATTGTTTCACTCATTTTGAGAAAGAAAAAAACTAACAAAAACATAAATTAAAAGGTTAGGTTATGTGTATTATGACAAATTTAACATCTATAATGTTGAAGTTGTAAATCAAATCATTTTTTCTAATATAAGTCGAGTAATTATACATACACACAAAAACGTACACAATTGTAAAATCGCTTCGCTCAGAATCTTAAATCATATTCATATTATTTTGACGGGCCACAGTAATCTTTAGATATTATACTAGTGTCTGTCAATAGTACTGTCACTGAGACAATGTGAGTGTTTATTTAGTATTCATTTCGGCACAAATAGTAATTGAGATTTGGAAGGGGGGGCTGAAGTCTGGGATCTCAAAATGTATAGAAGTAATAGCCTTCTAAAAATTGTCCTCGCCTTGCTCCGTTTCAAATGTAAATACATTTACAGCTACAGATCGTAACATTTGTTTAGTTAGGTTTGAAAATCTTTAGAAAATTTAAGCTATATTTTATAATATTGTAGTAATACATCACACTAATTGATGACGTAAATGTCACTTAAAATTTGGAATACGGAAGTATACGGTCCGCAATAATACAATTTTTGTGTTTATGTTTTCCAGATTTCTACAGTCCGTGATAATATAGTCCGCCTATAAACAATTCCGGAATTTTACGATTAGATTACTTTTCGTGACTATACATGCATCTTTATTGAATAATTAGATATTTACTCATTTTGAAACATCTCGACTATAGACACCCGAAGAGAAAGGCAATTTGAATGTGTTTTTGAAAAATACAATTGAAAATGTGAGTATACAAATGAGGGAATTTGTTGCAGATTCCAATTTAATTTTTCTAATAAATTGTATGCGTGAACAATTAAATTAACAATTAAATTTTAATGTATTGAGTATTGAGTATTTTTAAATGCATACAATGTAAATATCGTATGTGTATCTAGTATCCTGTATCTAGATACTGAAAATCAATATATCTATCTAATATTAGTTAGGTATTTTTAATCTTAATTATATCTGATTATTACTCCGGTGGCATGAACTTTAAATTCCCATCACAATCAGTTTAATATAATTAAAATAATATAAATGTATAAATTAACTAATTCTTCGATACCAGTATGAAAAACTCACCAACGCTATACCCAACCAACGATTTGATGAACTAATTATCAGAAATACTTTTGTGTGATTATCAATTCTGTTTATCATCTCAGACATAAACCAATTTTGTTTTCCAAATGCTCTTATAGTATCTAGTCCAGAAATAGTTTCATTACAATGAGTAATCATTGGTGATCTTAAATTTCCTTCTAATTTTTGCAAATCTCTAAAATAATTAATTTTTATTTAATTAAAAAAAAAGTAAAAATATTAAATTATTAAAAATAATAAATATTACATACAGATATATATATTGGAACTAACAAGGCCACTAAGAAAGTTAGATAAGAAAAAGTTTTTAGTATTGAAAAGGAAAACTGTGTAGAAAACTCTCAGGCCAGTATGAGATAATATCTATGGAATTTGGAGAAGGAGAGAAAATACATAAGTAGAAACTTTATTTCATTGGAAATAACTGGAAAACTGGAAAAACTCAAAGCAAGATGAGAAGATTTAATTAAAAGGGATATAGAATTACTAAGTTCGAATTTGAAAAAAAAAACAGCAGGTAAAGTGGACAAAGGACCGGGCGTGAAATGGGATGATCTATGAGAGGTCTAATTATTAAGAAGAAGAAAATATTTTATATAATATATGAATTATGAATATACACTTATATACTAGGTACTTATATTTTATGGTATTATAATATAAAAATTATTTCATAGAAATATTTACCTTGAAGAACACCTATAAAACTTTTGCACCGTATAATACACGAGACAAATAGGTACAAGAATTATTAAAAACCACGGTGTTATGATTGCATTAACGATGATTCCACACAAACACAAGAAAACAAAATGTACTAAACGTTGCATGGACGTACCAATTTTCTATGTATAAATTTAGACTTGCGTGAATTGTATTATATTATAAAACTTAGGTTCTAGTTTATTAATGTATAACATTATTACTAATACTAACTTTGTCAATAATCACCAAATCATTAGAAAAACAGTTGTCTATTCTTCCAATTGGCGTGGCATCGAAAAATGATAAAGGGCTTAGAATTATATTATTAAGCATTCGCTGATGAACAAGTTTCCTAGCTTTCAACGCTCCATACTGTCCTAAAGTATTTGATAATGCTGATAAAGCTATAGAAATCATACATAAAAGACTATATATGACCAAGTACCAATATGCCTGAAATATTTCACCATATATTAGTAATAAAACCCTATTTGAGTATATTGATATGGAATTTAGTCTAGTTAATTAATTTTAGGTAGGTACTTGTGTTTCATTAAGAGGATCTCTATTGGGCCAATAACTTAGCCAGAAATCAATGAAAACTCTTGATGTTTGCCAAGAAATTGTGAATATTAGATAACAAATATAAGTGGTCCACCCACTCCATGACACATATTTGAAATATGTTCTTAATGAAACTGAATTATAAATAAATTCATCTTCAAATCGACCTCGTTCACCTTTTAAATCTTTAAACATAAATTTAATTGGTGATAGCTTAATTACATGACATATTATTGTTATTGTATTATGTATATTATACCTGAAGATAAATATTCGTCACTAACATCTGATACATTTGAAGGAACCTTTTTCAACAAAACTTCTTCTGGTAAACTGAAATTATCATCAGATCTAAAACAAACGGCAATGATTTAGATTTTAAAACTATTATGAGTTCAATTTTTGAATGTACCTTAATTGTCTTTTGATGCTATGTTGTGACATTTTTCGAAGTCGATTGGAAGAGTGGGGTATTCTTTAATAAATAAAGTTTTAATTGTTATTTAGATTTATATGTATTTATATATTATGTAAGTGGTTGTCTTACCCTACTGATGATAAAACATGACGTCTTAAACTTTTTTGGCTTTGTTTTTCATGTGGATAGTTTCGATATTTAATACTCGAATGAAAACTTATGGCAGGTTGATTTACCAGCGTCTCGTCAATAAATGGTTTGTGACGCGGTAGCTGTATATCAGCAATCGTTGCTGATCTTTCTCTTTTTTTATCAGAGGTTGGCCAATGATTTCTTTCAATACAAGAATCACCATCACCACATTCGTCAGTTGGAAGTAGAAGATCATGTGTTAGATATCTAGATCCATATAGTGCTCCAAAATTTTTTTTTAACTTAAAAAAAATAGTTTTTTTACATACTAAATATTAAATAGGAACAGTAGGTTGTTATTTAATTAATTATTTAATTAAGTACCAATAATTCAGTGGCTTAGTATGATTGTATTCATTACCTAGGCCCTGGTCTTGGGTTTATCGGAAGATAAACTATGATATAAGATAAAACACAAGGAAAACTGTAGATAATTATTTTATGTAACAATAATATTTTGTGGGCTGGGACTAAAATGATTCAGCTTTAATTACAGCATACCTATTTAAAAATCAATTCTCCGAGAATAACAAAAACCTTAAGTTGATATTCTATGATATTTCTTTTCTTTTATATAACTAATCTATATAACTTTGAATTAATATTTATTACTCAATTTGTTAAATATTTGAATATTACCTTTTTTTGGCTTTCAACCGTTGGCCAATTTCGATAAAGTTGATGGCCTATTTTACTGACTAACTTGAATAATCTCCAACGTTCTGAAGCTGTTCGTCGACCATGATCTTGGTTTTCCATTTTTACCATCATATTTTGAACATCCCTCGTTTCGAGGTCAGCTAAACTACCACAAAATTCGATTTTACCTGCTTCCATAAGTATTACCTAAGGACATAGAATTTAGTTGCAGTTATTTTTGTTTAATTGAATGAAGTTAAGCAATATTATTATATTCACGAATAACGCAAGTTTTATGTAATTTTTGTAGTAATTGGCATTTGTTAGATTTTTGATTTTTAATTTTATTGGTAGATGTTCATTGTGTAAACACAATGCTCGTTTGCCATAAAACATATTAAATTAAAATTGTTTATTTTAATAATTAGTAAAGTATGTACCGTATCGGCGAATGAAAGATCGCTAGCAAAACTTGTAGTCATTATTACTGTTTTAGTTTGATTCAGAGTGCATTTTTTTATCCCATTGAAGAGCACATGTTGACTTACATCACTATCTAATGCAGATAAAGGATTATCCTATTCAAATTAAAAACAGAAAATTTTAATACTAACATTGAAGAAAGCTATAAATTCACTTACCATTAAAATAATATTGGCTTTTGAGTATAAAGCTCTAGCTATTGCAACTCGTTGTTGTTGACCACCGCTTAACGCTATTCCTCGTTCACCAATTATTGTCCTTTCTTTATCAGGCAATATGTCAATATCAGGACCCAGTGCACAAGCATCTATTATTCTTTTGAATCTTGACTTATTATATTGATCTCCAAAAACAATGTTTTCTAAAACCGAAGCATTTAATAGCCACGTTTTTTGTGATACATATGCTACTGTTGTTTCTCGTTTAAAATCGATTTCTCCAAATAAACAATTCATTTCGCCGAGTAAAGCAAGTAATATGGATGTTTTACCACTTCCAACTTTTCCAGTAATTATTGTAAGTTTGCCTATGTATAAGCAGTAAGCACATAATTTCTAGATTACCATTCATGAGTACGTGGTACATATTAATTATAATAGTTTACAGATTACAGTGTTCACGGAGATCTGACAATTGCAATAATAAGTTTTGTTCTGTTCATTATTTTTATTATTTTTTAATGAACACTAGGGCTCTGGGCTGTATGCTATGATTTCTGTACATTTGTTATACTAAAAATTAAAAATCTGAATATTTTAAAAAGTGCAAGATACCTATTTTATATAATTATTTTGAAACAAAATGTTGGCATTAGATATATTTACTGCAGTTGTGTATACGGTTTTGAGGGTATACGGTAGTATACGGCGTATACGTCGCTAAAACATATTTTTTTGTAAACAAATTGTTTTCAGATAATAAATTTAATACATTTAACAATTATCATAGATGATAAAGATTAAAGATATCTTTATTTATTATTAATTACAAATCAGATAGACAATAGACAATTATATAATACATAAATTTATATCATATCTTTAGTCCGTGCTCAGAATTATGATTGATGATGGGATGATTCTGCTTGATCAATGTTTAATTGTCAATCGAAACGTTTGATTATTTGAATTGGGAGTTTGTAGAGAATATTGTAACAAAATTATAAAAACCCTATTTTAAGTTTTATGGTTTCATTGCATAAATAATTTGTATTTTTAGGCTAGTATTTGAAGAAAAGTTAATATGATATCTAAAAACAACTAAAAAAATGTGGCTGGTAAAAATATGATGATAAAAAACTTTATTTTGGAATGCAGTGTACAAATGTCTAATATTTGTATGCATTTAGGGCGTAGCGTGAACTTTTTTTTTATCATAAAATATCGATCAAAAGTGCCTATACCCAAAAATGTGTTAATGAATGTATCTGTATGTTTATTAATGATGTGTCATTATTTTTCTAAAACTTTTTAAAGTTTACAAAAATTATTCATATAATTATTTTTCTTGAAGAAATTAGTGAATCGATTTAAATTCATTGACTTCGAAAAATGGATGGAAATTAACAACACATTATAAGTAGACATTTGTAACACCGACACTTTATTTCGAAGTATTTAAATAAATAAAATAGCTATTTTGGATTTTGTAAATATTTAAATGTTTGATTTTTAGTTTAAAAAATGTATAGAAAGCATAGCGCGAGGCTCTAGTTCTTTTTACAAAAAGAAAAACTATTAAATATCGAACATAACAAAAACTATTGCATTTATAAAATCTTTGCGGGACACCCTGTATAAAAAGCAAAATTTACCTTCTCCAATTTTTAAATTATCAATATCTAGTACCGGAATCTTTGAATTAGGCCAAACAAATGTCGCATCCTTTATAGAAACACATACTTTTGATTCCGTTTCATGCCTAGTGTTATCATTTTCTTCAGAAATATTTTCTATTAAATTATTTGATGAAATATTCATATCAGATTCAGTCCACGAAACATTTGTCTACAATTTACCACCATAAATATCAAATAATTGTAAAACATTTTATGAGTGTATAGCAGTATACTTACCGGTTGTTTCCGTTTATTATTCTTGTTTGTATGCAATTTTGTATGATTAGTATTCAATGCAATTTCTGGAAGTGACATAAATTCTTCGATTCTTTTTGTGCTCACCTATAATCATTTATTTGTTACGATAAGTCAATGAAAAATAATTTATCATTTATTTTTTAAAAATAGTATAACTTACGATGGCGGCAATAATAATAGGCACAGTTATAGGGAAAATAAACAAAGGAACAGTCAACTGATTGGACAGCGCGAGGCTAGAAAATATAGCACCGGAGTCTAAATTTGAGCCATTCTGTAAGCAATACAGACCTAAACAAAATAGGGATACTAGAACTGATGACGCGTGTGTTAAAAAAGCTGAAAGAATAAAAAAAAAAATCATTTTATTAGCTATTATACTCTATTTATTCGTAGATACTGTAGATTATACATACTCATTGAACCCCAGTAAATCGAGTCCTTATCCAAGAGATCTAATTCATTATTACGAGCGTCCGTAATACGATCTACAAACTCATTTTCCCATCCACATAATTTTACTAATCGAATTCCCTGTAATACTTCGTTAGTTAATTGAAGGCGTTTATCTGACAAATGCTAACGGAAAAATATAAAATAAAATTATTATAGGTCAATTTATTCAGATAGTACTCATAATGTAAAATAATTTACAGATATATCTTTCGAGTTACTCGACATCTTTTTGCCGATGATAAATTGTAAAGGTATCATAATCACTATACAGCAAGTAGACCCAAGGACGGCACTCCATCCGAGTTTCAAATACAATAGATATATTAAAAAGATTATCTGAAATAGATTAAATACAAAAATATATAATGATTCATTTCTTATCCTATTTTGATTCAATGAGCCATGCAATTATTTTGCTTGTATACAATTAAACGGTACAAACTTTTAAAGGTATTGCCCAAATATAGTGTCCAATCCAAAAGCTTGACATAATATTAGTGGTATCCTCTGACAGTAAATTTATGATGTGTCCATTCTCTGAGGTTGAATCTACTTGAGTTGGTTGTAATTTCAACATTTTGCAATAAAGCATAGCCTAAAAATATACAGTAAATAAATATTTACTAGTTTTGTCCGTTTAAACTTATAAATGTCACTTTTAAACTAAACTTGAAGTCCTGATTTAAGACGTATGCCCTCGACGTTTAAAATATGAGTACTAGCCTGTGAAAAACTTCCTTGAGCAACACAACTTACTAACATAATAAAAGCCATCACGTAACCGTTATTTAAAAAATCCCAAAATGTAACACAACATAGCCTGTCCTGAAAATATAACATTCTATACAAAATAAATTGACACTGGTGCAATGTTGAATCTTCATGGCATTCAATATACTAAATTATTTATTATATAATATTATAAAGGTTACCAGATATTATTGTTCAAAACATATCGCATCAAGTATATTAATACTTTTAATACTTATAGGTATCTATATTTAGAATTATTATAGTCAATTTTCAGACTTGTACTTACGATTTCACCATTTGTTAAATTTGTAACATTGTGTTTTTTCGCAACAAAATTAACTATAACTGATACTCCCAAAGGACCAATATAGCCTACGAAGTCGCCCATCATTTTTAATATTCCACCCAATAGAAAATCTTTCCAATACGCTTTACAATAACATTTCCACATGGATACTTTTGTAGATGTACCATACATTTCCTATACATAAATATGTATTTATTTCGATGGTAATATTAAAGTTATTTTACAATTTTAAATATTAAATGCTTTATTTATGATGAACACATAATCAAACCTTTTGTTTAAAATATATATCATAAAGTCGTCCATATTGTGTTGTAGACTTTTCACGATTTGGTAACTGTCCTAAGTCTTCTAGTTGAATTAAATGTTTGTAACAGTTTCGCAAAAATCCAGTCAACCAATAAAATGTTATTCTCGAGTACCAGCTGCATAAATCGTGTTTGTAGGTAAAGAACTCAAGATCCAAATCGGTTTTATTAATCTTTGACTGAAATTTAATTTATATGAAAATTAAATTAAAAAATATATAATTTTTTTAGAAACCTACAAAAACATAAGACCGGTTGTCGATTGAGTTATCAAAACTCCAGTTTGTGTTTATTATAATATGCACGTAGGTGAAATATTAATTAAAAATGCAATCGTTTTATTTTCAATGTATATAATTTAACACCTACATACAAACAGTCGATGTGTAAACTACCTAATTAATTAATGTCGGCCGTGTTGGTGATGTGCATATTTTAAAATACCCCTTCTTTTTTATTAGTTTTCATCTAGAGACAATCGTTCACTGATTTGTTTATGTATATATATTTCGTCAGGAACAGTAACTGCGCATAGAAAATAAAAATTTCTCCAGGCTCTGTGGCCGGCTGTGATTTATACGCACGAGTATATTATACTGCAGACTGCACTGCAAATACCTTTACTTATTTTTAGGAATTGGATAATTTTCACATTTTTTAGATTATTTGTTAAGTTTTGCTGCTTGGTAGACGTCAATTATCGGAAGTTTTACGTTCCACGATTTTAGAGTATTTTTATGTTTATTTTTATTATCGTACACTACAAGAGAATACGATTGTATAGAAGATATATATATATATAGTCTCAGATTAAAATAGTTAGAATAAATATACGAAAAATTGCATAAAATAAAGGTATTCTATTAGTACTCGAATACTTTACAATAGCCGTATTTATAAAATATTCAGAATACCTATTAAACCAATTCAGTATGCTAAATGAATTTAAGATTCACAGAAAAATTTTGGATCACTAGACGCCCAATATTGCTACCAGTCCGTTTTATCTTTTTATTTTATAAATTGTTTTTGTTTAGATCCAAATTACACTATTCTCCGGATAACATTTTTAAACGTTTTCCTAAACATTCGAATACGGCCTTATTATTTATATATTATTGTATATTCCAATCAATTCAGAGTGTTGCGCTAACGGAACAATATTATTCAGCCACCTCCTCTCGCTCGGTTCGCTAGCTCAACTTCAGACGAAAATAATATTAGTATCCCGCGACTTGTTACGGAAAACCACGTCGATGGGTCATAAATGCGGGCAGGGAAAACGGCGTTTATTCGATCACGGTCATACGTCCAATTTATAGCTATTCCCGTGATGTTGTTGTTGTTACATAGGCGTATACGGTTGTAGATACTCACCCGCCCGACCATTGCGTACAGGTGTAGTGCCGCGACCGCGTAACAACAGGCCGCCGACAACGCCAACGCCGGCAGCCGGACATGCTCGTGCACGGCGAAACCGGCGTCGGCGAGCGATACGAACAGGAGCGCCCGGCTCAGGCCGCACACCAACCACGCGATTGCGCCGAAGCCCATCGGCTTGGGCTGGCCGGCCACCTCCAGCATGTAGCACACAAGTCCGGAGCTGAGCTGGGCCAGCAGACCGACCGTGGCCGGCACTAGCGAGCCGCACGTGCTCAACGCGTAATCGACGGTCAACGCGAACTCGGCAAGGCACGCGATCGTGTTCACCGTACACCGGGCAGAATGGCCGTTGAAAAGCAGACGTCTCGGCGACGGGTTCCTGTACAAAAAAAAAAAAAAAAGGCGGACGATAGAGAAAACGGCAAGTCTTGAGTACTAGCCAGTTGTGTTGTATAATACAAGCAGGTGTCCCACGGAGATGTAATAAAATATGCAATAATGTTTGTTATGTTCTATTATAAGCAGGGGTCGGCGATTAGTTTCTAAAAGGGGGCCGGGTAATGTTTGAAAACTGATTTTCGGGGGCCGTATATTTTTGGAGTCGAGCAAAAAAAATTAAAAAATAATTTAATTTTTACCTATTCGGTGTTCCGTCTTATTTAACGCTTCTAAAAAAACATAAATTTATTTATTTTTATATTAAAAATACAAAACAAATTTGACAGTCCGTTTATTACTCTCCGCGGGCCGGATTTGACCCATGAACCACCTATTGCCTACCACGGTTCTATAGTTCATATAATAATTATTAAAGCCTTGCCCTAAGGTTCCTCTATTTTTATTTTATTTTTATATTTTTTATAAAACTAAAAATAAAAACGTAAATTGTTAAAAAAATTTTTAAAAAAAATGTTTTTACAAAATCCAATTATATTACAAATTTATTTTGAAATAAAATATTGGTGTTATAAATATTGGTGAACGAATCGTAAGTTTCTGAAAATGTTTGAAGCTTATAAAAATCATGAGTGAAATTATTTTTCATGGACAAATTGGCACATTGATTGATATTATTTAGTATTAGCAATGAATACAATTTAAATTATAGTAAACTTCAAAAAGTTGTAGAAACTTAAAAAACTTAACGATTCATTATTATTAAATATTTTTAACACTAACATTTTATTTCAAAATATATAATTTTAGATTCGAAGCGTAGCTAAGGATTTATTGATTTTACTATAATGTATGTTAAAATATTGACCATAACAAAAATTATTGTATTTATTAGATCTCAGTGGGACCTTCTGTATAACGCATGTTTCTAATAAATTCATCTAGGATGACACTGGTAGTAGCATCAGCGTTGTTTCTTTTTCAATCGGAAATCCTGGGTTACATCTTTATGATAGCACCGTACAGGCCTTTTGACCAGAGTTGGCGTTAGGGTAGGGTAAGTGGGGCTTACGTCCAGGGCTTTCCGCTTTCAGAGGCCCCGTGTTTGTAAACCCAGAAAAAGGGTAGCATAATATTATAATGGGCGTAAATCTGGAAAAATAATTTTTTTAGAAATCTAACAATGTTTTTTGAAAAAACACGTACATTCGCGTTATTTCATTAAACAGTATTTCCGGCCATAGCCTTGGGTATTATTACAATTATTAGGTGAAACGAGTGGTACACTAAAAAAAAAAGTCTCATAAAAATAAATTTATCCAGGGCCTCCGAAATCGCATCACCGGCCCTGCTTCTGAAATTATCTCTATAGACATTATTATTCACCATATTTTAAAAACGTGTTTCGAGTGGTCTGATGGATTTTATAAATAATTTATATGCTTTGATTACTTTATATTTGATAATACCTGTAGCAATTTAACCGCTAAAGTCGACAACGATGTTCGTTAATTATTGTTTGTATCGCCAACTTATTAGTTATAAACCATTAATATCATTACAAAATATTTAGGAGCTTTTCATGAAATTCGATTACACAATAATATCGATGCGACACATTATACACTATAATACACTAGTGGAGATCAAGATTATACAGCGTGCACATAAACGCACGACCAAAAATCTTAATATTTATTATATACAACACTGAAGCACTGCGAATTATATGGTTTCGAATATTTCTTTTTCGATGGCAATTAGTCGCCTCTCAAACGCAATTAAGTCGAGATTTCAACTTTAATATCGTGAATATTATTTTCATACGCGTTCTTTTCAGTCTGATAAAAATGCTCGTTGTAAAATTTTGTCAAGCAGGATGTGCGCGTTAGGGTTTAGGAACACTCGGTATAATCAATGATCTATAATAATATAACGCGTGTAAATCAAATGGCTCTTCAAAAAAGTCAACGATACGGCCGTGACGCATACAAAAGTTTAGCGTCAAGGACCTGGGTTCATCGGAACCCATCGAAATTTCGCCAAGTTATTAATGACGTAGTTATTAATGTTATGGGAATACACTATATTTGTGTAGTTATCCAGAAATATAAGTGATTCTCAGAATATATTAATATTGTTCGTAACCTGAGAAAAATTTAAAAATATATTTTATAAAAATATTGATTTTAGTAATACATAGTTCACGGGTACCTATTCTCGTAATAATGTTTCATGTTAGTTTATTATTAATGGCGCAATACTTTATTTATTAAGTTATTTTATTACTTAGTTTTATATTATCTAGTTTTGTAAATAAAATACGTTACCTCGTCGAAATGCATTTAATGTAGATAAATATCAACATATTTGAGTATAGAGCAAATCCAAATGTGATCACATTGAAAAGCTCCATATCACATGGATCGTAGACCAACCAAGGTTTTGGTTCATCTGTTGTACTGTTCCAATCCGCTCTGTAAGTGGTACACCAAAATCTTCCCATGGTAAAACGATCATTTAAGGACGCGACTGTTTCGGTGAAGTCGAAACGGTCGTTTAATGCGATTAAGCTTCGGGTCCCTCGGTTATATACTGCACACGAAAATTTATAAACTATGTATAGGTCCTGTCTATATAAAATCGGGGGAACGACGCGTACATATTATTATACGTTCGCCTACTCGTCGACCTACACCGATTGATCGCCTAATTGAAACGGATGTGTGTGTTGGGTTCACGAAATATTTTCATGTACCTGTTGACGCGTTCAGGATTTATCGATTATGTTTTTGTCGAGAAAACTCATGTTTTATACGATTTTTATTGGAGTGTTCCATAATCTATATTATCATATTATTAAAAATAGTGAGTGACTAGGTACTTGCGTAGTTCACAGATCGTTGAAATTTTCTCCTACGTAAGCATTTGTACGGCCATTAAAAATATACAATTACTATTACTCACAGATAAATCTCGTTTATAGTTAGATTTATTGATTATTTAATACGTATAATAAAACGATGTATATTTTAGTCTTTTATATTATATCCGATTCACTACTGGAGACAATCATCTCCATTTTAATATGTAACTCAACTAAGTAATATGTATACTATTTATTTGAGACCGAACTTAAAGTATATACCTAGGTGCCTATTATAATTAAAATATTTATATCGAATAATACCATAACTATTTATTTATGTATAAGTACAAATAAATAATTTGTTTTATTAAACCCTGTACATATTATAGAATTAATATAAAATATTACATTTGTAAGTTTGTTGGATATAATAAAGTCTATTATAAACGTATAGGTATTTAAATTTGTGAAGGAAAATAATATAGTGTTATTATTAAGTCTACAGTTAATATGTTACAATATATTTATAAAAAAACACCATTATTTAAAAATATAATATTATATATTTATTAAAATTATATTATTATTGTTAATATTTAGTATAAATAATAGTTTATGTATTATCCCCTTTAATTCTATTAGCTAGATAAATTAATAAACATTAATGTATTATATCTAATAAAATGTTTAAACGGCGAAATTTGTTTACATATTTTATGTTAATATTATTAATTTTTTTCTACTAACTCTACTATGATGTGTTTTTCATCTTTAAAAAACTTCCCTAGCAGAAATCTTGCTTTTTGTAGTATTTTGGATATAGTTTGCATATTGAAGAGGTATATTTTTAATTTTTTTTTATAATTTTCTTAATAAAAGAAGGCATCTAGGAATTGTCAATTCTTTGTAGAATTTGTATTAATTTCTGACAGTGGTTGTGTTAGACATTTTTTTTTCAATGAGAGTCAACTAGAGGTCATCTAATTTTTGGTAAGGTTGGACGAAATATTAGTTTTATAACTATAGGTATACTACAATTATAAAAAGCCGGGCAACTTCTCACGATGGTGCAGCTATTGTTGTAGGTGAGAAGTTGGAAAGGTAGTAGAGGAGAAAATTAATATATATCTGTAAGCAACGATAAACCATTGCTAAAGAAAAAACGATTCTGAGCGGAGTTGAGTTGTACATGTTTTGAAACGTCGTAGTGTACGATTATTGTTAAAATTTAATCTCGAAACATTATAAAAATATTATAAAAAGAAACTACTACAGTACTATACATTACGTTCAATTAAATACAACTAAGTACAATTTATAATGATCTTGTTTTAAATTGTTAAGCACTTCTTTTTGGCCAAATAATTTTATCCACATAGTACATACAAAAAAAAAAAAAAAAAATAAAATTCGAAAATGTAATATGTCTATAAATAGCTCAAAAATTGAAAACTAGAGCACGTCAGTAAAGGCTTGTATAAGTATTCTGTGAAATTTCAATTAATAATCAGTGGCAAACTTAATTAACATTAATATTAAGTTGATTAGCATTGAATCATTCAATTGCTAACATCCTTAAATGTAATACATGAGAGTCTAATAATTTATTTCTTAAATAATTTAAATAAATAAATTTATTTTAAACAGAAAATATTCTTTCACATCCAACTGAGAACTCAGGATTTGTGATTGGTTTGCACTTGTACCATATACAATATTAATATTATACCTCTGAAAATAATATAATCAGTATCAACTTTTAAATATACATTTTGAATCGAAGGTGGAAAGATGCGTCAAGTGTTTTATGTGACAAGAGAATTTCAATGACAGAAAATAGACTGAGATGGTTTGGGCATGTCACGAGGAGAAAGAAATTAAGAGAAGTAAGAATGGCGATGCAAATAAATTTAAATGGAAAGAGGGGAAGAGGAAGACCGTAAAGAGATGGTTAGATGCGATTAAGAACGGCCGGTAAATGCGAGGATGATGTGGGAGATCAGGTCAAGTGGAAGTGTTGGGCGAGGGCGGCTAACTCCAAATAGACGAAGGAGGAGAATAAGAAGAAATATTTTTTATTATATACCTACACTTATGTGAATCTGATATTTTTTGACGGATGAGAATAATTATTGGTTTGTGTTACGGTGGGTTGCTCGACCAGAACGAACGTCTACAATAAGAGGGAACATTTGGATAAATTACATTCAATGGGGTTGGAAGGGTGTTATTATGAAAGGTTTTTTTTTGTATACGGGTTTCTAAAAAAAATTGTTTAAATCACTATAAGAATTCTTCTCTGCTTTGAAGTAATAATAATGTGTTATAATAAAAATCATAAAGGACTACAACATAAATTGCTTTTGTGTATTAGGTATCAGTACAGGTACCTACACAGCTGTATGTAATCCAATTGTTATTATCATTGAAGTAGTTTTTTTTTTATAAAAAAAATACTACATAGGTAAATCATTTTACAATAGTAGGTATGGGTGCGTACTTTAAATATAGGCCTACGGGTAGTACCTACCTAATGTAATATTTTGTAAAATCTTTAACTTGATTTTAATTGAGTAGGTAACAATTTAAATATATTTTCTTTTTTGTGATTATTTATGTATGACAACGGTTGTCGTTTTAATATTATATATAATTATATGTATACCACCACCTACCTACACACTTATTGCTAAATATATCATATTTCAATAATTTATTTATAAGCCTACCTGTATAATTATCTATCGGCATAATCCAATAAATATTATTCTTAATAATAAGTACCGATACACCGTATAGTTTTAATAATACGCCTATACTTGTATAATATCGTTTGTCACAGAAGTAAAAAATTAGTAATAATGTAATTATTAAGTTTGATATTATAATTAAACGACAATGTAAATTGGAAAAAACTTTTTAAAATTATGGAACATATTGGCATAGACGATAAACTGTGTAATAAGGATCATATTAATTTTATTATAATCTGTACAGAGTACACTAACGAAGTTGCAGTTATAAACACAAAATAAGTAATGACAAAGTAGAAACTAAAATCGGTATAAAGGTGTAAAACTGGATGTATTTTATCACATACTTACCTTATTTAATATACATATGCTTATAGAAAAAAAGGTGAAAGAAGTGAGGGAGTAGAATATTGGAGGAATAAAGATAGGTGGAATGTTAGTAGAAATGCTACGTTTTGCCAAAGACAATACAGTAATTATTGTAGACAACGAGGTAGATCTCGTGTTAAATTCTTTAGCATTCTTGCTGGGCCCAAACAATTTTATCCATACAAAACTAAATAATAATAAAAAAAATGTGGACAATTTCAGTTTATGCAATTTTTTTTAAAGTGATTTACAACAAGTAGTTTAGTAATAGTAGCTAGAATGAATCTATACTTAATGCTCATATTTAAATTAATAATAGTAATAATAATAATATATAATATATTATAAGAATAAAATAATATTACAGATTTATAATTAAATAAATAATGATGCTGTTAAAAATAATATATATGTATAGGTAATATTATCTCCTTATCAACCAAACCAACAACTGTAATTGTGTACCTGTACTGCTTATGTTCTAGTAACTATATACGCTCAGATGGACATAACAGGTCGCGTAAGGTGTTCTAAACTTATGAAACTTAAAAACTTAGGCTGTATGTAGTATTATATTTATATAGTAGAATATCTTTATAGGTAATTGATATCAACAGATATATTTATGTATTAAACTAAAAGTATGAATGATTGGTATGAATTTAAGCTACCTATTGGTACATAGGTGGCTAAATAAAATTACTTAAAAATTTTACAAGCTAAGTAAATTGTATTTGTGCCATTTACAATGAGTATTATAAAATTACAAATATAAATTATAAATGAAGGATTCAGTGGAAAAGGTGGTAACTAACATTTATTAAATGGTTCAGTAGAATTATTTTAACAAATAAAAATAACAATGTAGTAGTTTTGACTAAAAATATAAATAATTCTATCCGGGTCTGATTACTGAACAATTAAACGGGAAAAATGTAGGTACTGAATGCATCCATGTTAAAGATTTGATAATAATGTTCTTTGAAAATATTTTTATTTGCATAAAGTGATGTGCACCGTACATCCGTCTCATTAGAAATAATTATAATTTACAGCTTTATTCATAGCTAATGTACAGTATTTTATATTATTTGAATATTGTATTTCACTTTTCTTTACGAACGATTGTTACCTACCAACTATTACCTAATTAATGTATTTGGGCCTGGTCCATTTAAAACGTATAGAAATATAGTTAGCTATCATAATATATTATAACCGCCCGTCTAACTCCTTTCCTATAACAACAGAATAATTATAATTATTGTATAACATAGGTACGGTCGTAGGGGGAGAATAAATAAAGGCAATAATGATTTGAGCGAAAAATAATCGACACTTTCAGAAGCCCGTTTCCTGTAAAAAGTCGTGCATCCGTGGAATTGGAGCTGTGCCAACAGATGGCGTTGTACGTGAAGTGTGCGCGGGTTACCGCCACCGAGTCCCCACCGACGCGACGACGTTACCGCGTTACAACCGAGCACGCACGTTCCTCCCGGTATCAGCAACCGCGGT